CCTAGCTTCGGCTGTTAGTCTTCTCTTCTCCCGGTTGTAGTGCCTGGAACACTCTAGGGATTCCAAGCGATGATAGCCTTGTTAACCTCCTAGTGTCAGCTACACCTTCATCCCCGGCTGATCCACTCATCGGCTAGGCAGACGCTGTCTCCACTAGAGTCCTCTATGGGACCTACCGCAGCATGCGTCTGACTGGTGCTAAAAATAAATAAATAATCACCCAGTGAGTCACCTTCGGCTACTATTCAAGCGGTATCAACAACACCTATACAAACTATACATGTAGTCTACCTCTATCCTGATTAGTTCGGAGCAGAAGCCTTGAGAAGACTAGGTAAGCAGATGTATGCACAATGGTCTAGGTGAGCAGATGTATGCACAACAGTCCTACTCTAGGCTCTCTGTTAGGTGTCAGCAGTCTGTCAAATAAAAATAGACTAGGTGAGCAGATGTATGCGCAATGGTCAAAATAGTGATGGTTAGTTGAGTTCACAATTGGAATCCCCTTCCCCCGTACCCAACGTACCTGTGAGAATCATCAAGCTGCGGTGTCTAGAGTGTGCAACCACGGCCCACCCCTGTGCCCAAGAAGTATGCTTATGACCAGTCCTGCCCTTTATTTACCCTCGCGTGCAACGGGCCTTACGTCTAACCGATCTGGCTGATCAAGAGGCAATTTAAGGACAGTCCCCAAGAGTCCTCAGGAATTCTTTAACGTCGCAGTTAGGACGACATCGCAGCCAGTGGACAGTTCAAACCCCAACCAGAAATGTTTATAGACGGTCAGGGAGCATCTATGTAGGACTGGTCAGTCCGCACACCCCTTCTATCAGCGCAGTAAAGTGCCTTAATGGACAAAGCAGCATGGCCTGCGTGTACTAATACCCATGGGTTGGCATGGTGACCACGACCCGTGCTTCGACCAGGGCCCTTCAGAGGCACCGCCCTCTCCTGCCAGATGTGCCACTGGGAAGAATGTCGTCTCGCAAGACAGCGCACACGACTCCTTTCAAAAGAGAGGACACTCAAGTTGGACTCACTTCCTCATGGTAAGAAGAGATTGAGAGGGTAGATAAGGAACGGAAACAACGTACCTGGAGATAGCTGCCCCCAACCACAGATTTCTCACCAATTGGGCCGACGTGCATTTCGATGACCGGTCAATAGCCTCGGTACCACCCACAGCGCAATGCAGTACCACCTCAGCCAAAATGCCACGTCAGCATAATCTCATCATCATACATACATCCACTGTCGCCACAGCTCCCACGCTGTCGCCACAGCCTTCTAGCGGCCGGCCCCTCTACCTGGGCCCCACTCATGCAAACCAGCGCCAAAGTATCCTTACTGCACATTAGGCATCGTCAGCGCACCAAGTGACAATGTCGCCAGTGCCAGGTAAGCGGCGATCACGAACCAGCTCCGATACCAAATTGCAAGGAACATGAGTGTGAACGATAGAAAACCAATGTTGCGAAATCACACAGATGTCGAGGTAGTCGTATCCAAGCAGAGAGTACACAAAGCACCGAGAAACCATCCATATAGAGCAATACAATGAAGTAATGAGCCAATGTTCAAGCCCGGAGGCCACAGCAACACAGAATCCAAAGTCGCTCCTCTTTGTCTGGCGCCCAGCGCCCAACCTACTCTGCCCGACTATCCTACCTACAGCTGGTTCACGCAACAGGCTCACTTCGACTCTCGAAGACCAATGTACATGACTGTCAACTCCATAGCCGACCTCTCTTCATGCACCAGGTACGTATCTCGTCACCCCCAACCAGACCTTGATAACCCCACTCTGCGCCTCCTTCCCTGAAGACCACCAGACCACCCACTATACCCCCTGGCGCCTAGCAACCCGGCTATGGCCACCTGTGCCCCGCTGCCCTGCAGCGCCCCTCCTTCACCACCTCGCACCCCGTCAGCACCTTTGGCAGCAGTGCAGCATCAAGCGGGAGCGCAGCAGCACTTCCGCATTGCCAGCATTGGCCAGAATGCCTGGCCTGGGCCTTCCTCCTTTTGTGGAAGTGGCAGCCTCCTGGATGCTGCGTGTGGCTTGGCTCGAAGCTTCCAGTAGCTTCTGGTTGGGCCTCAGACCCTGCGCCCAGGCCCGATACTACAGTTGACGGCCTGGGCCCCTTTACAGTTGGGCACGGCCTAAGTCTCCGGACTTGGGCTGTTTGCTGCATCTGTGCAGCGCCCCCAGGCAGGTGCGTCGGTAGTACTGCTTTTGCCAAGGCCGATGGCCTGCTTCCCAATGTATCGGCCCTGCATGGTGTGTATGTGCCCAGGCGCAACTGCCAAGGCCTTGGCCAACAATATGATGCAGCTTTGTGAGGCTCACACGTCTACCCAACCAACTGGCGTGCTGCGAGAGCCTGAATACCCACACATGGAAATGTCAAATTTTGCCTCCGACGAATATTCAGGCCCGCCTTCACTTAGGGCGGGCACTTGGCTTGCTGGGGGCCTTAGCCCAGATCATGTGATGTCTGATAGGGCCCCTTGAGGGCTTGTTCCTCACAGAAATTATTGTTTGACGATAAATTGATAACTTTGATCAAATTCTTTGCTAATCTGGAAGGGCAACCAGGCTTGCCACTGCCCAGAGGTATTACCTGATCAATAAGCTGATGCAGTCAATGTTCAGCAGCCTAAGACGAAAGTTCATGAAAGGACCTCAATTGTACGATACAGTACATACCAACTAAATAACTATCGAGGTACTCTGCAGGGAACCAATGTCTTGGCTGCAAATCTGCTTCCCATAGGCAATACCAAAACATGAAATTTTATTGCATAATGTGCAAGAGTCAGCAGGAATGTACAACCATGGCTCACGCCTTCTGTGCCGGCAATGTCTAAGACTTCCAGCCCAGCTCTCTCCGACAAATTAAAATGCCCTTACCAGGGTTGCATACCCACAGACGGCCGACCGTTTTGCAGCCTACCAGTTAGGCCGAGTCACTGGTCTGCCGACCAGTCGGCAGAGAGACATCCGCTGATTTTCTTTTCAAATCTGAGTTTGGGGCCGTACTACGCTTCCCGCCAAAAACCACTAAGAAACTTTTGGGGATGAGGAAGGGGTATGCAGGAGTAACGGGTGGGGTAGAGGGGGTATGTGGTGGGGGGAGAGGTGTACAGGGGGTTTTGGGGGTTATGGGTTATAGGACGGGTTATAGGTGGTTCTGGAGGGGTACGAGGGTTTTGCGGGGCCGTATGGGGGGTATTGGGGGGGTTATTAACGGTCGGTGCCCCTAGATTGGTCGGCTGCCGACCAGCTTTTCTGCATGATTTTCGGATGTTGTTTTTGTGTTGGGAACAGCGTAGTCTCACGGATGTCGACGCCCGTAGATTGGTTGGCTGCTAACCAGCCGATGGAACAGTCGGCTGGTTGGCAGCCAACCAATCCACGGGCGTTGACCATCCGCGAGACTACTCTGGTCCCAACACAAAAACAATATCCAAAAATCACGCAGAAAAGCTGGTCGGCAGCTGACCAATCTTGGGCCACCAACCATCGGCGCGACTACTCTGGTCCCAACACAAAAACAACATCCAAAAATCATGAAGAAGAGCTGGTCGGCAGCCGGCCAATCTAAGGGCGCCAACCGTCCGTGCGACTACTCTGGTCCCAACACAAAGAACATCCAAAATCACGAAGAAAAGGGCCATGTTTTTTTTGTTCTCCCCCCCCCCCCCCCCAACAAACATACGCCCCTTCTATTCTGGGGTCCTCAGTCCGGTTGCTTATCACCAGCAAGCATGTTCTTACAACTGAAGAAAGGAGGAAACAAACGGGACAGAGGACCCCCATCCCTTGTGGCACTGGTCACCTGACAAGGGGGAGACTGCTTCGGGGCGGCCCTCCCTCCAAACCGTGGCCTTTCGGACGGTTGCCCTGCTGGCTTGGAGGCTTACTGGCAATACCCAGTCATGCAGCAGGGCAGCCTTCGGAGAGGCGAGGCGCAGGGGGGCCACTCCTAACAATTCCTCAGGCCGCTTGACATCCTGTTTCTGGAGCAATCCTGCGCCGTTCGTTCTCTGCATCACCTATGCCTGTAGCCCTCGTTTGGTTCCAGCCAGTTCCACACCTGTTCCATACCAGCCACTAACTACCTCCGTTTCACCCCATTCACACACGGTCCTCAGGCATTCCTCGCCTTTTACACCCCCTACACCGATGGTAACCCATGATAGCCTATACATCCAATCAAACAACCAGCACACAGATGATCCGTACCCCGGCACTTACATTACCCCATCTCTTGTCCTCCTAAATGTTGGTGATGTTTTGGTGATGTTTTGCATTCGTTTTGTAGAGTGTTCCGTGTCTCCCATCCTTCCCCCACTCTACCCCCTTCACCCCATTCCCCCTACATTTCCTCGACGCCTCTTACTCCCCATACTCCCCCCTAGATCCGTTTTCCCCTCCTACATCCTGGCCTACCTCCTCCCTCCCTCCTGGTACCGCCCCAGCTACTATACATCTGCCCCTCTCTTTAGTGTCCCCTGGGACAAGACACCCACTGCGCCCATCTAAATATTAGACAAATCGGTTGACCGACTTTCCTACCCCTCCCCAGACCCTTCCCCCACTTCGGCCCGGGGCACGTGCCGCAGCAAGGCGGGACCAAAGTGCATATGAAAAGGGCCTTGTTTGCAACTTTGCACGCACTCTTTTTTTTTTGGCACTCCTTGTTTCATAGCAGTCCGCATTTCTCTGAAACCAAAACAAGAAAAGGGCTGCACGAAGGTTGGGGCTAGGTCGTGAAAGGCACCTTGAAGGCATTCAACAATTGTTCTGTTGGACCCCTCCATCCAACAAACCACAGCAGTTCCAAGAGTCTGGTTAAATTATACTCAGGCCATAGATAGAGGATCATCCATGCACCAATATGTCAGAGTGAACTGATGTGACAAATGACTGGCATGCCTGATCTAAGAAATGTATCTGTCCATACCACCGTGCAATCCGTCTAAGAAACACTCACCTCTCCTGGTGGGTCCAGAAGCTGGTCCACTATGGTCTTGATAAGTTCAGGATTGACAACTTTGGAATCCTTGATGACCTCAGGGTCTGCAGTCTTCAATTGCTTCATGAGCTCTTGGCTTGCCTTGAAGGCATGAGTAAGCATCGGTATGATCAACATCTGAAGTGCAATCACCAACTGGTCTTGTGGAAGCGCCTTTTTCTGGAAAAGGAACAAAAACCTTTCAAGGACCTCTCTCTTCTTTGCTGGTGAGTATCCTTCTGCAACCTGGAGAAAAATAATGTTGCAATATGTGAACACAGTCATTCAGCAGATTCAGCAATCGAACTCCGGAGTGAGCGCAAACAAGCAACCGGTGAAGAGACTTGTATTTTTTCATCCTTTTTGTTTGTTTGTTTTTTCTCTCCTGTTACAATTGCACAGGACCCATGGCCGTCTTTGCCCTGAGGGAGGAGACATGCACACCCACAACTTTTCCTGATGATAACCTAAACGGCGACAGGTTTCAAAACTAGGGAAAACGCTCCCTGATCAAATCCAATTTGGGCAAGGTGCGCAGGAGTCCTTGAGAACCAGCTACCATGAGTTTTCTGGCGATTTCCAAAACTGCTGCTGCCTCCCCCTTCAACTCTCCTACTGCCCACCCTTTGGTGCTTAAGCCAAGAGCTCTACCACAACTTGCACAGGACCAATGGCCGTTTTGTGCCCTGAGGACAAGCACACCCACAACTTTTCCTGAAGAAAGTTTTCAACAAAGACCACGCGAACGCAACAGCTTTAATAAGAGTTAAGGAAAACGTTCAACTCTCCTCCATCCCACATGCGCTTTCAACAACGACCACACAAAGGCAACAGCTTTAAGAGTGTGATGCGTAGCGAAAAACTCTCCCACAACTTGCACAGGACCCATGGCCATTATGTGCCCTGAAAACAAGCACACCCACAACTTTTCCTGACAAAAGCTTTCAACAAAGACCTGGCAAGGTGAGGCCAGGAGCAGGAGTTTTTTGAAAACCAGCGCACATGTGTTTGCCTGCCCCATGCTGCCAATTTCTAATGCTGCTTCCACCTGCCCCTTCAACCCTCCTCCTGCACACCACCCATTGCTGCATAAGCCAGGAGCTCTCCCCCACCTGGCATGGCATGTGCCCATATTCCCTTTGGGACTGTGTGAACAGGACACAGATCACAATAACCTAAAACGGGCATTGGACAATTCGGAGTGTTGATGAGACTGGCATGATGCTTTGCAGACAGAATGAGCACCGGGTCACAAGGCATAAGAAGGTGTCAACCCTTCGAGTGGGGAGGGATACACAAGCTGCAAAGCACATGCCACAAACAGGCACATGGCAGACACACACACACACACACACACACACACACACACACACACACACAGAGAGAGAGAGAGAGGAGGTGCAGATAACACGTGGCCCTGAACGCTAAATAAACAGAATAAAAAAGTCATCAAATCATAGCATTTAGAAAATTGGAAAGACGGAAGTGAGGGTGATTCACATGATACATATGGCCACAGAGATCTGCCCGGTGAACTTCGGGTAGAGATGAAGAGAAGGACAAGAAACAGGAGACTGTGACAGACGGCATGAGCGAATTGAAGTACATATGTCAATTGACGCAGCTTTGCCTGTCCAAACTTTCTTTACAGGCAAACCTGTGTCACCTATCCTCATCTGAAATTTGAGGTGCATTTTTCAATCCCTGTCCGAAACTCTATTTGAGGTGCATTTTTCAATCCCTGTCCATCACCTAACTTATGCCCATCTGAAATTTCAGGTTTATCTGGACTTCGCAGACAGTTTCATACTTCATTCGGACCAGAGCAAATTCATGAAAACGAGCATAGACCTAAACGAATCCAGCTTATTCCAACACGACCCCACTGTTCTCCATGCAGTCCCCACACACTTGTTTGCCGCCATAATTAAAAGAGAACTTAGATGCATTAAGAAGTGCGCACACACTGTCCATCTCCCAAATCCCACACCTTCTTCACTTCCGAGAACTCTTTGTCACAACCAGGTTCTAACTGTTTCACATGTGAAAATGCTCTACCTTCAACAACAAAACATGAAGACTTCGCCCTGGCTGCAGAGAATTCCATTTGTGCTCACCTCAATCATGTAGAACTCTCTCAAGAACGTGTAGTCGATCCGTGTGCGGACCAAGAATATTGACAGCATGTCAAACAAGACATCCACTTCTTTCTTGTCGTGACGCAAATAATTCAAGAAACACTTGATCAGCCTTTTACTCTCCTTCACCTGATGACATCCATTCAAGGAGACAAATTTGAAGGCTAAACGTCAACCTCCGTCATAATGATCGAAATCTCAGAAACACTGCTTCCTAGCACTGCAATTCACAATGAACAATACTCGAGGTGAGCTGTTCCTTGGACTACAAACCCGAAAAGAAAAGAAAAAAAAGCCTCCCGGCTAGAGACAACAAGGAGTGGAAAAAAAGCCTCCCGGCTAGATTGGGCAACCAGAGCTAAGTAGCCAAGAAGGTGACTGTTCGGTGGATAAATGTGACAGTTGATACATAAATCAAGTGTTAAAACCATGACGGCTTCAATAATAATGTAAAGGATCCAGGGGTTGGCCTAGGGAGCTCAGCTCAACATCAAGGACTGTTACCACTGCGTCATCGTTCCAACGAAAACCAGAACAAGATGACGATAATAAGATATCAGACATTGATGGCCTTGCGGCATTGTTTTTGCTTTTCTTTTCTCGGAGTCTCTGTTCAATTTCCTTTGGTGTTTGTACGTGTTCCCGAGATAGTTAAAGACAAGCCCACAGAAAAATGATCAACGTCGCTTTAACAGGCACTTTTACAAATCTTCCAGATCCGTCAGGAGGCAATGAGCATGGGTGTGTAAATTGTGTACAAGCCAGGTGTACGTGGCTCCAGAATGTAGGAGCCAGACTGCGCTTACAGCATATCCCCAAAGCAATTCGTATGGTCATTCAGAAACTTTTATTAAGAGGGACTGTCATGCCAGATATTCCTCTCCTAGAATAAGGACACCATCAGGAGAAAATGAATTTTAAAACCTCTTGATTAACAGGAGACCAGCCCTTACTCAGTTTCGCACTGGATTGATGATCTCATGGAGACTTTCCTTCTTTCCCCCATCTCCAGCCGTCCACCCAACGTTTCACAGGTAGCGATTGTTCTGCACCAGCTCCCTGTTACCTACAATTTGTTGGTTTGTTCATTGGATGGCCAAACTCCACAATTTGCAGAAACTGGCTTAAGCTCAGAGGTTGGTGTTGTGAAAAAGCAAAGAGTGCTTACTTAAAGTCCACCGCTCCCCTTGACAATCAAACAATGGCACAACTGTCTGGTGGGCGCGCTGGGGCTTGCAGCCTACCAGCCAACTTCGAAAAACTCTCGTGCTCATAGTTTTTTGTGCAAGAAAATCTGAAAGAAGTCAGGCCTGTAGGTTCGGTGATGATCTTTATGGGAAAATATTTCTGAGGTCAAAACAAATGTTAAAATTGGCAAAACAAATTATGCTGGCAAACTTCTCACTTTCTCACTTTTTTTCACATTTTTGCTCCCCTTTTGTTGCATACTGTAACGGTGCAGACCAGAACAAGAACCGACCTCTCTCACAAAGTACAAGATAGCGTAGCGGAAGACTTAGATTCCAATGATCCGAACAATCAATATTGCAATGCAGCCCTGAACATACATCATCATCATCATCACTCCATGGTGTGAAGGGGTCTGGCGCTCACACAGGAAGAATGTGCCAGCCCCAACCATACACAGACGAAGAAGAGGGGGGTTAGACGAAGAAGAGGGGAAGATGGGAATGTCGTCAACACCAAGTCTTCGGCACAAGCCCAAATAGTCCCTCGTCAAAATGTCTGAATCCCAATGTCGAGTCTGGATCCAATGTCGTCAAGTCTCAAGTCACAACTCCCTCTCTCTCTGTCGTAGTCCGCTGATACTGAGAAGCCAGGTAGTGAGAGGGTGAAGAAGAGATGGTGGACTTAGAAGAGGAAGAAGACGAACTCTCTCTCTCTCTCTCAGGCCGGTACTAACCTGTGAAGCTGGCGCCTTGATGGAGGTACCTCGAAGATGGAGCTGGAGCTATGGCGCCACAGGTAAGTCTCACTGGTCTCCGCCAGCCATCTCTCTCCAACACTACTACTACCACCTATTAGCGCCCAGCGCTGAAGACTACTGCTAGTCTGCTACTGCTATTAGCACCCAGCGCTGAAGACCACTGCTAGCGCTAAGCTACTCCTGCAGCGCTCCTCCAGAGTGCTGCGGCCGAATCCTGAAGACTACTCCTGCCTTCTGTCCAACTMCCTMCCCRTGAAGTGCATGGGAACTCCCTATGTACTACTCGGCCTGCCTCCTGACTGCAGGGCGAGGCAGTCCAGGAGGCTGCTCTTGCCAATGCCGAAGGGAGTCAGGGGCTGCCGCTGCAGCTCCTGCTGAGGCTGTCGTGGGAACAGGCCAAAAATAGCCTGTTCCCGAAACCCTGGTTTTGTGCCTGAGTGTTAGGGCAGGTCGATCTTATGAGGGCCCGAAAGTGGCCCTCCGTTTCAGGCTGAAAAGCCTCAGGGCTGAAAAGCCCTGTTTTAGGCTGAAACGACATAGGGCCTGCAGGCCCTCGTTTTCAGTCTTTCAGGCTGAAACGACATGGGCCTGTAAGCCCTTATTTCTAGGCTTTTAGGCTGAGAATGCGGGACAGGCCCTGCAGGCCAGTGTGGCTACGCAGTATGCCACACCTTTGCCCCAGTGGCCCAAATCTTTTCTGCTTCCTGGCCATTCCAGTCGTCCCAACTTTGACACATCTGAGGGACTTTTAGGAAGGAAAACACAAATGATACAGAAACCCAGAAAGCATGAAAAGTAAACGCCGTGGTCAGTGACGACGCTAGCCAAAAGTATCAGAACTTCAGAAGTGTTCTTGTGCACTGATTTTCATTTTCCAGGTGGTTAATTAACTTAATTGAAGTTAATTTCAATTTTCCAGTGAATGTGATGCTCAAAATCGCCATTGCCATTTTTGGATGGTCATGGGTCAAAGAGCAGAAACTCGTACCTGCTCAGGTAATCCAAAAAGGAACGACTGCAAGTCGGGAAGTTCATGCCAGCTCATCTGAGAACCAGCTCTTGCGAGTTGAAAGAAGGGCCTTGCAGCGTAAAACCTTAGGAGAAGCTATAAAGGGGACCTCAGAGCCAACTAGTTTATATTAAACCACCACTACCTCTCTCGGTGTGCGGGAAAACGGGCATATGTGTCACACCGCGTTTATCACACCGCATTTATTGCAGGTCCCGAGGAGGTTCAGCGCGAAAGAAAGTTTAAGAAACAAAAAAGAAAGATTTGAGACCCTACAGGACCACGGAGAGGAAAAAAATTAGAAAAAACTTGAGCGACGTCGGGGAAGGCACTCATGAAGGTGGATGTGCAACCAGTGCTTTGAGGAATGTATCAGGCCAGTATGTGTGGAACGTGATAGATGTTTTTGTTTTGTAGCATCCTGTAGCGGACAGCAATCACAGCATAAGGGATTTTTTTTTATTTATTTTTTTTTGAATTTTTTTCTGCATTTCTTCGTCATCGGACAGACGCCCTCACTGAGGGCACAGTCCCACTAGGCACCTCGTAGAATGCATCTGATGGCTATGACAGCCTTAGGGAAGTTTCTTTTTTTCTTCTTCTTTTTTTTTCCGCTGCTCTTTTTCGGATGTAACTGCCGTGAGTACCAGAAAACAAAATAGAATGGGACCCAGTCTCGGCAAAACTCGGTGCGCAGTGAAATTTAGGGTCGGCAAAAACAGGATCGGAGGTAGCTGTGGTTTGAGCTCCAATCAGAGCATAAATGTGGAAAAAAGAGCCCATCATTGACCTGAAGGAATGGCTCTGGACATAGAACGCCCACAAAAAGACGGTACCTTCAGGCTTCAGTCAAATATACTCTCAAGTTTCAGTACGAACTAGTTCTGAAGTCGGACAACTGTGGCCCTGTGACTGACGAGATGGCAAGAAATGATCGATCTAGATCGTGATCGTTGGATATATTAAGGGCTCCAATCATGCGAGGATAAGGCTCCTCGGCAGGCCTAAGGGGCCCCTGATGCAAGTGTGCCCGCCCCAAGTGAAGGCGGGCCTAACAAATCATGAGAGGCCCAATGCTGTCAGTTTCATATTTGGGGTTCAGGCAGTTGTGTCGCGTCAGTTGGTTGAGGGAACCCAGGACCCGAGCTGCAAATATTTTCCACGGCCTTCTGGGCCTTTTCTAAAATGCAGGCCCTGGGCAAGAATCGCAGCATCATCCACAGACAGTTGGGAGGCACAACCGAACGGGGCCCAGCAGCTGCAACAGATGCCTAGCCACTTGGGGCCTACCTGAAGCTTCTGGGCGCAGGCCCAGCCCAGCCAGGCGTGGGCAGGCAGACTTTTACCATATAGGAAAGAGCTCGCCGCCTGGATGGGCATTCAAGCACTCGCCAGTTTGCGGCAGCGCTGCTAGAGCGGACACTCACGGGCCGCTGCTAGCGCTAGGGGCAAGGTGCTGTGCACGTGTGGGAAGGAGGGCACTGCTGAGGGCGGCGCCGTAGCCCAGTTTCCATAGCTGGCCGGGCTTGGAATACAGCAATGCGCAGGGGTGGTCTTTGGGTGTACAGAGGGAAGACCAGGTAGGGAGAGAGAGAGAGAGAGAGAGAGAGAGAGAGAGAGAGAGAGTAGTCTGGGCGCCGAGCGCCAAGTAGGGGGAAAGGCCTGGACTCTGATGTTGGTGATGACGAGAGGAAGCTCTCATTGACATTCGGTTTCAGTGTTTTGATTCTCCATTGGTGTAACATTGGTGCATTACTGTTTTCTGGACACTGTGATACTGTCTGGCTTTAAATGTGATCGTGTAATCTGGGTTCTGTCATATCATTATTGCTCATTTTCCTTGCAATTTGGTATCAGAGCTGGTTCGAAATGCGGTTTACTGGTTCTTTGCAATAGCTGTTCGGTGCTTCGCATGAGGTGTGACGGAGTGATAAGGCTTGGGCGTTGGACGATAGGCGGCCCAGGGTCGTCTGGGCGGGCCGGGAAGGCTATGTGGTGACATTGGAATGTACGCTGGATGATGAGAGCTTACTGATGTGGCAGTTAAGCCGAGGTGGAAGTGCATTTCGGTGTTTCAAGGACCAGTCATCATAAATGCACGTCAGGTTGTCGGTGAGAAATCTGTGGTTGGGGGCAGCATTATGAGGTACGTTGCCCTCTTCCTTATCTACC